ACCTGGCCATGCCGGGCCTTCATCAATAGATCTTTAGTTTTTATTTTTATGATTTGTAGCCCTAACTCATGGCCACTGCAAAAGGTAAAAGAAGAATATAAAAAAGGAATACAAGTTGAACTGACGAAGAACATAAAATGGAACTTTTTAATTAATAATACTGATTAAATTCTAAGATAAAAGGAAGTATTTTTAATGTTTTTAAACAATATACTGTCTCAACAAAATGTTTGAAATTTCACAACCTAACAAATGACAGAACTACTAAATAAAATTCTCTTAATTTTGTTAAGCAGAAAACAGATATATTTAGTAAGTTTGTATTACATTAAATGTGATTTGGTTACATATTTCAAATGCAAGAAAAAGGGTGAATAGACTACAAGCCCAGAATTTTAAATACAAACATTTTCTAGAATATCTTGTAATTTCTTCTAAGATTCACTGAAAAAAAGTTTTCAATAAAGAAGTGCCCATTAAACATTCAACAATATTTCATACAACTACAATATATTATCTTAAGATTGTATAGGTAAATCATGTGTATCCAGTTAAACAAATATTTTTTATGATTGTGACCAACTAACAGTGCAGTACTGTACTCCTGTTTCTTTAGCAGGTCAACTGTTTTATCAGGTATTTTTAAATTGTCTTTAATAATTATGTCCACAAACCTTAATCTGTCTTCCTCTAAACAGTGATTCATCCAATGCCATTGCAGTGTGAACTGAGTCTTTATCAACAAATTCAATGTAAGCAAACCTACAAAAAAGTACAATTCAGTTTCAAAACTACGACTGTGACCTACAGCCAACTTTCAAACAATATTAATACTAGTGTAAAAGTACAGCTGAAGTTTGAAGACAATATTAGTCAAAGTGAAAAGTATCAATTTGAGACACCAGATGTATGTGGATCCAGTAAGTACAAAGAGTACACTTGCTTTTGTTGCAGAGATATAGGACTGCAACATTGCCACTGACCTTCAACACTATACCTGCCAATCAGACATCTGGCAATAAATAATAAGATTTCATATTAACATACTGTACCAATACAGTAAAACTAATTTTTGAAAACAATTCAAACTACACCAGAGAATACTTTTTATTCTAGTAATTAACAAACTATGAAAACCCAATACCACTTTTAAGGTTTTTTCCAATTCTCACATTTTTGCTGCACAGAAAATATAATTGCTATAACACACTACTATCTAGATATAATTTTTCATCACTGAAATTAAAATATTGCAAATTTATTAAATCTATAGTAAATAGTAAGTTAGTATATATATTCATCATTAACTTCATGCAAGTGGGCCAGAGGCAAATAACAGAAAAATAGTGTGGGATTTAGGGGATTCCAAACATACCCATACCTTCGCCAACAACTTTTCTCCTTGAATTGGCATTGATACATGATCACCATAACTGAAAACGTACAGTATGATTTTTAAAGAAACATATAACATTTAACACGCCCCTCAGGAATCAAGGGATGTCTTTACACTACAATTTGTTGAATATTAAAAGAAGTTCAATCCAGAAATTCCAAAAGAGGGTGGTTTTGGACGTATCTTTGAGACAAGTTTTAGTTTGTTAATAGATAAATTTTAAAGTTAAATAAAGCATCCTAAAGTCTTCATAATAGCTAGTACTAAGGTTACCTGCTGGGAGTAAATTCAGTATATATCTATAAAGCTACATTCTCAGCATCATTAATTAAGCAATTGCCAACCTTTTACGCTTAGCTTTCAATTGAGATACAAATGATTTCACTTGAAGTAGAATAAGCAGATAGGAAAACTGAAGAAAGCAGCTACAGCCATAATATTGTACTGGGCTTGATGCACAATATCTACCAAGGTGGCTCTGAATGCCTCTGCGTCTCATTTGGAGACTCACATGCTTCTTGTGCTTGGCCATTAAGCTTGTGATGCGCTGACCAATTTCAGTCACCTTACCACTTCAAATCACTTTTCACAGCCCCAATGCTAAAAGAATATGGGAAATGCCTTCTTTTTAGCCCATAAAAATGTCCAAAAAAATTTCAGTTCATATTAAGAAAAACCGGATTGGGTAGTTTTTGTTCTGTTTCAACAAAAACGTCCCCCACTGGCTCATAAAGGGTCTGTTGAAAAAGCCATTGTAAGGAAAAGCTCATAAAATTGTTTTTTCTTTGATTTCTTAATTTTTTCCAGCGATTAACATTAAACAATGAAACATTATAGAAAAATAAAACTGTTGGTAAATAACTAGAATATTTAATAATACAATCATCTCACCTTGCCTAATTTGAGAAGTTACAACTGTATTTAGTGGATTTGTATAACAAACCAAATTGAATAATAATGGCTGGAGACGGCTTAAATGGGTAATGAAGAAAAACTTTAATATAAGTTTAACATGACAGCAAATGTACAACGTTTCGACAAGGTTTTGTGAAATTTGTTTAAATACAGGTTGTCCCATCTTTGAAAGCTTTCATTTAAGTTTTATTTCACACACACTGGCCAGATTGTTTAATGAATATCTTGAGCCTAGTTGTTACATGTTATTTATCAAAATTAGTTGTACCAGGCAATTTTCTGTCTGGCTTGGACAGTACATGACAGCCGTAATATCAAATTCTTATATTAAAAGCATAGTTTAAAAACACAATTCTGCCAAAGCCTAAATAAAGCAAGATTAATTTGAAATCTGCATTACCCAAATAATGAATGTTTTTATATTCCTTTTAAGTTCACCTATTTCGGTTAACTTAAACAATTACAAATGTATTATCGGCCAAGTACAATTATTTTTTTGTTAAAATGGAAGATACTTCAAAGTAACCCATTAACAAGATTTTATTTAATATGATGAAACAGTGTTAGATGCAAAGTACTGTAAAAATATTTATCAGCTTTGATATTAAAAACCAGTTATCATTACAATATTTTCCTTCAAGTGCAAGCTTCTTCTTTTACTTCAAGTAAAAATCTATTATTCCTGGTACCACTGTACCAAATATGTCTCATATTCTGGCTGCATGGGAAGTAAAGCTAGGCAAACTAAATTGATCAAATAATGAAAATTCTGAATATATAGATTGTCACGAAAATACTCAACTGAGATTAGTGTTTCCAACTATTCCAACAATTGATTAGTCAAAATTACAATTACATTTATTGTCACAAAATTAATCAATTAATTGAAGTAATCAAAATATTGCCACCAAACTTGTTCACCACATTTGTTATATAGGCTATCTGCCACCACCCTTAATTTTGAACTGCTGACTGGAGGAAAGGCAAATGTATTTTTTTTGCTTGTACGTCCCATGATTTGAGGAAAAACTTAATCAAATGTAATAGATTAAAGGGTGGGGGTCATTGATTGGTAAATTAGGAAATACCACTAATCACCCAGTTCTAGTAGGAAGCAATACATTATGCTAATCTAGAGGTTAAGAGGCAAATGAATCTCAAACATGATAGCAATGTGCATTTCTGCCAGGGTTCAACATCCATGAATTTTTGTACCATGAAGCTTATTTACAGAGTATAGATGACTCAAGTGAATTACAACAATAATAACATTAACAAAGTTAATAACTAGAACAATAATGACATTAACACAACTAATAATTACAACAATAATAACATCAACAAAACTAATAATTAAAACGATAATAACAATAACCCCATTATGAAAATTGGCAAGTTTTATTTTTTAACTTACAACCCCCATAATTTAATTTTTCTTCATAATTTTTTCACTTTTTCTGCCCAATTCAGCAAATGTCTTATCACAAGTTTTTGATAATACTAAAATAACTTACAATTTATCACATTCACCTAAAGAAATAGTATTTTGATAATTGCTTTTCATGACACTTTCTGGTAAATGACATTAACAAAATACAAAACAAATGTATCATCTTTGGTGTGATTCTTTTGCTAATAAATATTTAATGTAAAGTGTTTCAACTTCTTTACAGAAATTACACTTAAGACAATCATACCCTTTGGGATGACCAGAGAACTTATCACACAGAATTGTAACTCTGTTCACAGAGCCACAACCATGGAAATGACTTTCCAGCTCTTCTGCTGTAGCTCCATAGTCTACCTATAGATCAAAAATTATACTTCTTAGTTATCTTAATAACTCAGGATTTGGTTTATGCCACTAAAAGTAAGAATTAAAAACAGTTTCGAAATGGAAAATCATCATTTTTTTTCTATTACTATTATTATTATTGTATGCAACTGTGGACATAAAATTTAGACTTAAGCATGCACATATTTCATTTTTTGAAAGGGATTAAACCATGGAATTATAAGCTATAAAACATCAACATCAGATCAAAATACCTTGACAAAGTCAAAAGTAAGATGAAACTAACTTATTTCTTAAGTTTCATGATGTAAAAGAATTAAAGAATACAAGGCATACTACAAATTAGTTAAGTAAGTTGTTGTTACACACGGTACTTGTATTTGGAGTATCTCAGACAGTAACACTTGTACAGTAAATTTAAATCTCAATCAAATTTTTGCCATTTTTAGCCAACATGATACTATTGTGCATTAAGCTTTTGTCAATTTACAGATACTTGTTGGTTGTTTAATTACAATTGTCTCATAATTATCAAACAATGCTTACATTTCCAACATATATGGATCGATTATCAACCTCCATCTTCTCTTCCGGAGACAGACCTAAAACAAAAAGTGGAATAACGAGTTTGTGTCTTGTTATACTTTCAACAGTACTTCTTTATACTACTAATTCTATAACCCAGTTTATACTTGCATCAGTTAACAAGTGAAATCAATGATCATTCATCAGTCATATGCAGTAACATCATCTGCAGATATCTATAATAATCAAATGTACAACTCTTACAATGGACTATTTTTTAAGTGTCACTTGTATTCTTCAAACAGTAGTGTATATTTTAAAGCTATAGTATGTTGTTTGGACTTTTCAAAGAATAATTTACTAAATCTATTATTATTCACATTATTCTTAGCTCTTTGACACCCTAATGGGTGCAGACCATCTCAAGGGCAAAGTTCCAAAATTCCAAATTAATTTTAAGAATTATCTATCATACTAGTGATGTAATTATAATTTACTGATATTGGACATGTAAACTACCCCCCCGCAGCTCTATATTAACTCTTTTGGAGTATTTGCTAATTGTTAAGAATGTCAATAATGTTTTTGCAATGCTCTGAAGTAAATATTTCAATTTCTAGCAAAACAGTATAAATCAAATAGAAATTAAGGTCACAACTTTTAAACAAATAAAATTAAGGTCACAACTTTTAAACAAATAAAATTAAGGTCACAACTTTTAAACAAATAAAATTAAGGTCACAACTTCTAAACAAACATTTAACATTTCTAACCTTACAACCCAGACTTTTTAAACTGTGTGTGTGTGTGCCATAACTTGCTTGTGGATTTGGACTTTGTTTTTGGGTCCCAATAACTAACCCAAAGATTTTATGTATTTTACCTAGAAAATATGTGATCTCACTATTTTTTTATTACTTCTTTACACCTAGTACTGTAGTGTAACAGTTAAAAAAAAAAGGATAATGTGATGTAAACAAGTCTAATTTAAAGGGTTAAGCACATGCATTTGAAGCATTGTTTATAAATGTACTTACCTTCAAATATTTAAAAAATATCACTCTCATGAAATTAGGTACTTAAAATGCATTTTGATTAGTAGAGACCTTTGGTAAATACAGGATTCATACACGTGACCATGAAAAAAATTACAGGAATTTAAGGATTTTTTCACAGTGGAATTAGGTATTTACAAGGACCCGAGAAACATTTTGATGTTACCTTCCAATTCACAAGAATCGCATGTATATGCTCAAATCTACTAAGTTTGTTCTTAATTATTAAATGGAAGTATTACAAAAAAAAAAATTGAAGTTAATGTCAGACGAGCATGAACATATCCCATCACAAATGGGATATGTTTTACTGTTTACAAGAAAAATATATATTCAGAAGTTAAGATTCTGACTTTTTATGAAAGTAAATCTATCTTAAAAAAACTTGTTTTTTTATTTCCCAAGAAAAAGACTGAAAACAATGTATCCCAAGAAGAAACCGGTGATTATATTTCAAAACCAAAGTAAAAATCTTCTCAGGACACACCAGTTTCATCACTTTCAAATTGCTCTAAACTAAGTTCTAACAGGGGGCCAAGGACATAACCAGTACTACTGTGGACATGGATAATTCCCATCCCCCCAAAAAATATATCTTTTCTTCTATAGAAAGAATTTAGGTGATTTATATGAAAGTCAAGTGTTTATTAAAAATATCAGAAAACAGCAGGCTGGGGTGGCCATTTGCCCCCCCCCCCCTTTCCAGGCTACACCTCTAGGGCTTTGAGGAAGATGTCTTAGTTAACACCAATTTCATTCCTTTTGAACTGCTAAAAACTAATTTCTGATAGAGGGGCATGAAGACAATCACAGAGTACCCCCCCCCCCAACCACTCTTCTACTTTCATTTAATCCATTCCTATTCTACAAATTAATGACACTACTGTAAGATTTAAATCTAATTGATGCTCAACAAGTTTTACAAACTGGAAAAAAATATATACATCAAAAACATGTTAATTTTCAGTTACATCTGTCAATATTACATAACTTTTGAACGTATATTTCTGAAAGTTTCTTCATGCTATATTGTTACATATAAAAACTTTGGTCGAGACTCGTTTCTTAACATGCAGGTGAGAACACAAAATATGAAAAAGTGATCAGTATATCAAAGACGATTTTTGACTGGTTTACTGCACTGTTTAGGCCATCTATACCTTGGCATTCACATTTCATGGGAGCAACATAGTCATATTGCTATGATAATGCATCTTATTTTTGTATGAAAAAGAACACTGCATTAACAACTGTTTATGAAATGGAAATCAAAATGCTTGAAAATAAATGTTTAACATTTCCTGTGCATTACAAATAACTTAGGCATTGAATCTCTATTTTTCTTTTTTTTAAATTCCATAACTTTAAAGGCCTGGAAATTGAAGTTTCAGAATTCCATGACATTCCATAACCAATACGAACCCAATGAATAGCACATGCAGAAATAGTCTTCATTTAAACAGCACATGGTGACAAAGTAAACATTTCACAATCACCCAGTACTGCTTTTATTCTTGAATATAATTATTCATTACCATGTAAAAAAACTGTGCATCAAATGACTCTTTATAACATTTTTTTTTATGAAATTAAGAAAACCAAGCTGCTGTGATGTAATAAAATGGGTGGTTTAAACATGCAACTTTCTAACATACTTCAACTGAAACACCTTGTATAAATATCTTAATATTGAATTCAATAACTGTAAGTAAAAAACAACAGGATATATGGCATTTTACCTTAAAAAAATTCTAATAAGTAAATGTTTGAATAGCAACTGCTTACAGAGTAGTCCAAAGTAAAAATATAAAAAAAATTGCACGTACATAAAGGACTTAGATTCATCTGCTTTTCTACCTCATTTTGTAACTGTTTCAGCTTTTCTGCCTCCTCTTCCATTTCTCGAACCCTTGCTTTGATGGCCTCAAGTTCCTGTCAGATGCATATTTGGTTGAAAAACAATTTAGTATCATCTACTTAGCTTGTTACAAATAAGTTAGACATACTTGTGCACAACTGATCAGTAAAATAGTGTCAGTCAGATTTCTCAGAAGTCTAACATGTTTAGACATCATTTCAAATGTGCAACAAACAGCAAGGACCAAATATGTTATGAAAAGAAAAGGTAATTTATTTCAATAAAGGTGAGTATGTGGAAAGAACACCCATTCACTATATCTACAATTGTTAAAATTAATATTGAAGATCATCCTATGTACCCATTCTTAACTCCAAAATACAAACTATCAATGCAATAAACTCAGTAGCAACTATAACTACCAATTCTGATTGTATGTAAACATATTGCATATATTATGTGTCCATCACAGAATTGCAATACATTTTGTACAAATAGTTTTAACAGGCCATGTGAAGTTAATTAATTAACTGGTTTTTAAGTGTTTAACCCTATAATTACGAGCACCCCTGTACTGCACGTCGAAAGATTTTACTTTGTTAAATTCAAAATTTAATTAAGCAATTTTATTATCTATGTGTACCAATGAAATTAGCTTTAAAATTTACATTATAGTTCAAAGTTTCATATTATCTAAGTTTCAATTACTTTATTTGAAAGAAATCTTAAAGAAAATTTGTGAAACGTTTAACTTTTCATCTCTGTAGCTTAAATAGTTCTTTCTTTACTCTATGCTTCTATGTATAGAAATAAACTAGGTTAATTGCTCTATTTACACATTCTTTATTCAAGCCCCTTATGGGACATTGGAAGAAAGAAAAATTTCTTGGGACTCTTGATAGATGATACATTCACTCTACACATCATACCACTCAGCCAATCATACTTGATTGAGCCAGATGTTTGAAACCAATAGAAAGACCACATTCTGAAATACTATTTCCCAACAGTTATTTTAAAATTGGTGCAAAGAATCCCATAGAAAAATTGTCAAACACTTTTATTGTTGCTGTTTGCGTCCACGGTAGCACTTTAGCATTAGTTCTCCCCTATAAGTATGTTAGTTAGATAGACAATTAAAATTTTAGTAAGCGAATGTTAACAAAATTTAGCAGATTATCAGTAAACATTACAATGCTTTCATATGCAAAAT